AACAGGTGAACTACTTTTTATGTAAATGATGCCTACTCTTTAACAATATCCTTGACACTTAGATATTTTCCTCCCATTTTTCAATCATCCTTTTCCTCTTCCTCATGATTACCATTCTCTTCCTCATGAAAATACAAAGAATTTATTGAAAGACAATAGGTACTGAAAATTTACATATACCAGCATTAATCTTTACATTTGAAGATATTGAAGCACTGAATTATTAAGAAACTTGCAGAAGGTCAGAGAGATCCAGGTTTCAAACCCAAACCTTACAAATACCCTACAGCCCCCTTACAACTTGACTCCCCCCTCATTGGCACCGTTGCCTCTGTTGAATACAGAACAGATGTGGGTTCTGCTAGTAAGTACAGATTCAGGATTCCTGTAGTTCTGAAGCTTTATAAATTTATTGACTAACAGAATTTAGTTAACTGAAGAAACATCACTACTAACTAATGCTCTTATCCATTTAATTTTGGAAGGGATAAAAAAATATGAAAGGAGGGCTAAATAAAGGAACTATTATTGAGTTGGTGGTTGTTACTTAGCATGTATTATATCCTTTAAGTCTCCCAATAATCTAGAGATAGGTACCAGTGTCATCCCAGATAAGAAAACTAAATCATAAACAGGTTATATAACAAGCCCAAGGCTATACCTTTAGGTTGTGAGGAAAGGGGCACTTGAATCTGTGTCCAATTTTTTAAAATCCATGGTCTCTGCCCTGATTCATTGTTTCACTCCGTAAACATTTATAGTCTGTATTACATGTCCATATGGCACTAAGATCTGGGCACATATGTTTGATCCTCTTCCAAAGCTTAAGGAAGGCTTTTGCACAAGTAAATATAAGTGGGGACTATCATGAAAGAGGAAGTCTAGGGTCAAAAGAATAATTTAGCAAAGGAAGGAGGAGGGACTGCCAAAGGGGGGCAGACTAAGCCTCCCTGAGGAGTCAAATGACAGCTAAGGCTTGAAGATAAGAGTTACCCCTGCAAGAGGTGTGTGTGTGTGTGTGTGTGTGTGTTTTGTGTGTGTGTGTGTGTGTGTGTGAGAGAG